AGGCATTTTGCAACAGGGAAGGTGGAAGGAGGAAGGAGAGGCAACATTGAACCATCCATGCATGCAGTGGCAAAAAGCAAGATTTTAGAAAGCGAGAAGAAATCTTAAAGAAAGGTAGCAGAAAAAAAGTAGTTTCAAAGTTGCTGTAGCGGTACCATTTCAAGACTTCATTCTTGACTATATGCCGGTACTATTTTATATCTGTACTGTAGAATCCCGATGTATGTCTGCTTCTCCCACCAGTTGCAGACCCTACCCTGTACATTTATATACTGTAGGTTGTGATCAGAACACTTGAAATGAAATAAATGACAACAACACAACAAATTTGAAAATGAAGAACTAAAACGGCGGTAGTGACTGAAACGAAGTCACGAGTGGTACAGTACGTGTACTGTGCGCAGGCCAGGCGCAGACGATGAAATGATTTTCGTTTTTCGATTTCAGATTTGAGGAGATTTGCGAGATGATTCAGATCTCGTAGCACGAGAAAGGGGAGCACATTCTCCATCACAATAGCAATGCCAGATTAGACTCGACAACTTTCTCGATCGGTGTTTGCTTGATCCGATGTATTTTCGCTCAATTTGATTCTCCAAAGAACCATTTCCAGCAACGAAAGCACCCTCCAGGAATTCGAAATGTTCAAGCCTGTACAACAGAAACTCGACAAAATTCCTAATCCTCCAAGGGCAATCATCGCTTGCAATCCTTTCCAGTAGGTACAAGAGCTCTTGCTTCCATCGATCAAGACCGAGGTATGCACCTCTTTGTTCCACAACTTTTTGCATCAACCATCCAATCACCTCCAAACTATCGCCGGAACTATTTTTGACAAGATAGTCCATCGCAGTACAGTTGATTCAAACCAATCTTTAGCCGACAGCAGAGTTAGATCGACCGAAGTGAAGCATTCTTGAAAGAGTTCCTGTCTTGGCTTTTCAGCCAGCGCCAAGATGTGCAAGGGAGTCAAAGTTCAAACGGCTTTTCTTCTTTGGATCAAAAAATGACAACGCAATAATATCTAATAACGTAGACGAAAGCTCGAGAACGAATCATTGGATTCCTTTCATCATACTGACGACGGTCGAATGACCGTCTCAACATCATTGCTCCGCAACACCAAGTCCGATCAATTTATCGAACCTGTGTGCGAGTATAGGTACATCAAGAAATACCTTTATTTCCAAGATGCCACAGGAGGTAATCCTTTTGCTGGTGTTATGAACGGTACAAACATACCACTCCAGTCGCCAGCCCAAGGTATGCCTCCTAATGGAATCCACAATTCAACATGGAATTCTCCATTCCAACAAGGTCCACGCGTCCAAATTGATCCTACCCCTAGGGGCCCGTCCCCGATTGCTGGACATCACACAGGATTGCCGGCGCCTGGGTTGCCAACACCGATGCACCATCAACAGATGTTTCCGGCATCGCCAGGGATACCTTCTCCTCACTACTGCTTTGCATCCAAACCTATCTTATCCCGCAGGGTACAGAGGTGCAGTGTATCCAATGGATTATTATCCGGCCCATCCCGGATTCACCACAAACAAGCCAAATTCGCGGTCCAAATATACCCCTGTGCGGACTGCCAGTATTAATTTGGACATGGAGCGCCCTTGTTGCCCCCGGAATTGAAGGCAATTGGATATTGGTTGTTGCATCCAGTCCCTCCTACGGTGGGGATGGTGCGAACATCTCTTGGTGATCGAATGGCATCTGACGTTCTCCAATTTGGACTACCAACAGAAATTGGGCGTAGATGTCTGGAAGGGTTTGATTACAAAAATGATGGCAGTGTGGCTGCGAATATTGTTTGTACGGCTATAGAGTACCGAACCAAATACCAATTTGGAACATTCTCGCAAGTTGGAGAGCTATAACGTGATTTGCGGTCCGTAGTTTTGATATTGCTACATGGTGGGTGGATCCTGACAGCGCTCCACCACCAGGAACATCCAAACGGTTTTCATTGCTAGCATTCCTACCCTGTATTTTGGAAGACTTTTCTTCTGATTACCTACCAAGTGACGGATTAAGTTGGCAGCAGATGAAAGCATTTGCGCTGGTGATATACTATCATTTTGCACTCTTGGGCTTTACAAACCCAACTTCGGATAACGGAGATTACAATGATGAGCTTTTCTGCAGTTCACTCTTTGGTCATTGTTTGCAACACATATGTCAATATGTCCTGAACACAAATTTGGGTCATAGATGGGCTCAGACACCTGCACAGTGTACAGCTGCTTACGTTCGCGATTTGAGTGAACTATTTCACATTCTGAAGAAGTTCGTTGACCATCGTATTTGACATGATGTGGAAAATTATGGTATTAGTGATGTGTGGCCCACAAATGACCGTAATGCAGTATTTATGTTGGTGCCGTGCAGGTTTTATGGCTCAGACGGAGAGTGTAGTAAATGTTCTTCATGACTACTATACTCGCATACAGCGCAATTGGGGAGCTGGTCGGTATACTGCTCCAAACGAATGTTCGTGGGCGATGTCTTCTTCACCTTTCTTTGCCCCTGAAAAAGCTGCGCCTTCACGGCTTTTGGACCTACCAAAGCCAAAGACGACGGAGCGTACTCGGGATGATAAAGAGAATGTTCCCTTTCGTAACACCAGTCCACTATTTGTGTGGAATCATACTGTCACTCCTTTGGGAAAGAAATCTCCGTCGGAAATGTTATACCCAGTGGTCCAACGGGGCACCTATCCCTTGATTGTGGATCCTCATGCTAAACGCACTTCTGGTAAGAACACATTGTATCCGATCTGTTTAAATTCAACCTTTGAGGGCCATTGTACTTGTTCCAAACCCGGGACTTGTAAGACCCACAAGGTGGGCCGCTATGCTGGCAAAACACGTCTTCATATCGATTTGAATGATGCGCGTTGGTCCGCGGCCAACTACAAGGAAGAGGATTGGAAGCCAATTGTCAATTTCATAAAGAAGTATCACGATCATATTTTGCCCGCAGCAAGGCATCACCAAGTACAACTTGGTGATGGGATCCACTGGTACCCGAAGGGGCCCAGCTTGTGGAGCATGACTCCAAGCCAGTGGTATCAGACAGAGTAAAGATCATGGTTCCCCCAAGGCGTCGGTTTCACAAGACACCACCAGCTCGGATCAAGAACAGATGGCCTGGAGATTGGAACTGGCAATATCTTCCAATTCGTGAGTTGCCTCTTAAGATTGTGCCGTGTCTACCATGGGGAAAAGAGAAGAAATTCAACACTTCTACCAAGACGCTACATGAAAATATTCCTGGAAATGGACAAGTTCAGCCGACATTTATGCTGATTGCCCACCTGGTACAGGCAAGCAACTATTTGGATGAAACAGATTATAACATGCTGACCCTGGTGACTCCGGCTTTGACAATGGGGTTTTGGAAAAGTGCACAAAGATCGCTATGGTACCCACGCAAAGGTCAACCCTCGATCCATGATTCATTATGCTTGGGGCTTTCTGTTGACAGTGGATAGACACAAAGTGATTATTGCGTTGCCTCAGTGGCGTCAATATGCCTCTCTTTGTCGCTTTGCCTCTGTTACTTTGCTGGCTTGTTTGAAAGAACCACGTGGCTTATCACATCCAAACTGAAGGTGTTCCTATCAAAGCCCAATACAGGACTCCTATGTCTGCTACTGTACTTAGAGAAGAATATGATAACCATCCAGCAGTTGCTGCCAATTCTTCCAAAGTTGAGGAGAAGTTTGCAAAAGAAGAATGGAAGGCTTATCATATTCACTATTTACGGTTTGTGTTCCAATTCATCCCAGGTCTGGTTATTAATCCTATCCAGTGGGTTTTTGACAAAGGTAAAGGTCGGATTTGCATTGACTGTTCCAATGGTCCTGACGACTTAGGATCAATCAACACCTATATCCCCAAACCAAAGCAAGATAAGTCCAGTGAGCAGTGCCCTCCAATCCACTACCAGTTTGCGTTCAAGAGGTTGCTACGTCAAGTTCTCCGTATGCGCATCACCAAACCAACAAGTCCTATTTTGGTTCATGCTGACAATATTGAAGCCGCTTTTCAACGTGTGCTTTATCATCCAGATGTAGCTGTGGCATTTGCATGTGTATACTCAGACTATTTGATTGTCCCAGTGGGCCAGGTGTTTGGTTCAAGGAATGCTCCATCATTCTATTGTGTTCTTGCCAACCTACGGGAGGTCTTGGCAACTTGTCGTGTTGATGTTCCTTTGGAACAATTACATGCGCTGGTCCGTAAATGTACCATTGCCATTGATACTTCCACTCCTTTGTGCACAGTCCCTGCTGATTCCCGTCACCCACCGTTGTCTGTGACCAAACTTGTTCGAATGTACAATGCTAGCTATGTTGACGACAATGCAGTTGCCGCCTTTGCTGAACATATCAAGCAAGCAATCAATCACAGTGTGATGTCTGCCTTTGAGGTTTTTGGTCATGGTGATAATCGCCGTGGTGACTGCCTCCAGGACAAAAAGTGGGAACCTGAGGTTACAGAAACCTTTTTGTTTCTAGGATTTTGTATCAATACACACAATATGACGGTTTCTTGGCCACTCTACAAACGGGAAGACTTGCATTCACAGTTGGTGGACATCCTGAAACTTCATCCACGTTGCGTTTCTCCTTGTGAGATGGCAAAGATTGTTGGTATTGTCCGCTCCGCATCTGAAATTGCACCATGGGGCAATTTCTTGAGCTTTAACTTGCAAAATGCACTGACACAGGCTGCCAAGAATGCCTTCTCCGACAAACGAAGCTGGTGGACATGTTCTCGTATCTACCTATTGCGTGTGGCAGTTGCTACAATCCATCAACTGTTGGAGACATTATTGGCGCCTGAGGACAGCCCACTTTGGTCTCGGCCTATCGCTTTGTACCTGGATCGTGACTACACTCATAGTGCATATTCCGACGCAGGCTATGGTGGCTTGGGTGGCTGGAGTGCCAATTTCAGTTTCCTTTGGCGCCTGACCCGTGATACTCTTGTCGAAGCGGGTTTTGAGATGCGTGAAATAAAAATCTCATCTAATGACCCAGCGTTACCTGATGGTTTCTTACACATCAACCCATTGGAATATCTGGGTGCACTCATCAACCTTTGGATCTGTATCAAATGTGTGATACTTCTTGGCCCCATCAATGGGGGCTACATTTTAGCTTTATTGATCGATAATACAACGGCTGTGTCTTGGATGTCCACAGCATCCAGGACAAAAATCCTCTTCCACAGGGACTAGCTCAAATAGGTTCTGCATTGCTTGTTGAAGCCTCTCAATTACTAATGAAAGTTTGTCCCAAACATCATCCTGGAAATCAGAACGGAGCAGCGGACGCGAAATCCAAAGCGATTGAGAAGGATGAGCAATCGCACCAAGAAAGAATCCCTCACGGAAGAACTCAGGCGGTAGGCGCCAGTTGGCTATCTTCGATAGTAAAACAAATTTGAAAATAATGAAGAACTAAGACGGTAGTGACTGAAACGAAGTCACGAATGGTCCGTTGCGCGCAGTAGGCCAGACGATGACATGCAGTTCATCATCAATAACATATTGTCAGAGCCACACGAGCGATTGTTGTGAGAGCAACCCGAGCCTCATTAGTCCTCTTTGCGTCACAACAAACTCATGTGCAAATAGTATGATTCCTTCCTAGGTTTGAATTCTTGCCAATGCAATCGCAAGGAAGTAAACTAGCCTTCCGAAGTATGGAATGTATACAAAGAAAGATTTTTGCCTGTCTGCTTTTGATGTGGACTGGTACTACAACAATAACGACGCTAGCTTTTCAGCCATCAATTACCCAAATGCGACGACATTATCATAACGTACCAGGGCTGCTGCCAATACTATCTCATAGAACGACGCGAATAGCTTGTTCTACCTTGAAATATGTGGCTTTGGGCGAGGAACGTCAGCAAGAATTGACGGAAATGGTGGCACGAGGATTGGTCCCAGTATTTTTCGGTGGAGATGATGGTAGGATGGATGGCACTGACAATTTGCGCAACATGTCTCTTTCCAAGAATAAGACTATTACAGCAGAAAAGGCCTTGAGGAGGGTGCTACGAGAATACCAGAAAGAAGTCACACAGTGGATGGATAGCGGTAGTCCCAATGCCGCTGAGGAAAGGCGTCAAACCCGAAAGTTTCTGTCTGATCTTCTGCTCGGAACATCCATCATGAGAATACGGCATTATCATACCCTGATTGCAGTTCTTGACAAGCAAGAGAATCTACGACAAGATGACGAAGCTTCCATAGTTCCTACCTATGGACTCTCCCTTCGAGATTTAGGTTCCATCAATGGGGTCGACATCAGTACCTACAAGTACTCTCTGGTCAGAACTTCAAAAACACATCCAATATCTTTGGTCGACGACGACGCCAAGAAGTTGGATTTGTCACGAGTCATGGCTCATATCCACCTACAATACTTGCAAGAGCAAGGACAAGATTCGTCTACGATGGAATTGATCTTGTCAGACTTTTTGACTGTGGTGAAGGATCCTGCACTTGGGATCTCTGTGCGCTACAGTCTTCCTCTCTTCTTTGTAAAATTATTGATTGATCAATATGGACTGGATCTGACAGAACAAATGGCAAAAACGTTCAATGCACCTGGGCCTATTACGATTCGTCGCAATGCCATTCGTTGTAGATCTAACTCGGAACTACAATCCCTCTTGTCCAATCGCCACGGGATTCGCAGCGCTCCCATTGTGCCTGCTCAATGGAATTACCACCGCAACGGTACCGATCCAACCGGAAAGACTTTCGACACTGCTCTAATCTACTACCTATCCGTATCGACAGCTCTGATGGATTCTTTGTGGCACGATGGACGAGAGTTGAATGACCAAAAGTCCAAATGGTTTCTGATGACTTCAAACGCAAACTGGATTGGACCACAGATAGGAGTCGTCCACAATATCACTGAAACACTAGTCTTCGAACAGCACGAGCTTTCGTTAGTATTTGGCTACTAGTAAATTCTATTTTAATACCCCATACATCCATTTTTCTCTTTATCAAAAGTGATTCTTGCTGAGGGTTCATCATCCTTTTTCCATCCGAGACTATTTACTTCATGGTTATGCTGAATGCTGTCATTGAAAAGCTATCGCGGCTCTCTTCAATCTGCTAGTCGTCAAGGATGGGTCCCTAATTGAGCAAGCTTGGGCTTGGCGATCCTTCATCTAGAAACATATCTTGCGTCAAGAACTGTTCTGCATCTCCCAGCATACCGCAGCGACACATTACAAATTGAACTTCTTTAGCCAGGGGTGATCCTTTGCTTCCGATAGGGAAATCCTTTCACTGGCAGACGGCTCCATGAGGCGCGTCACTAAGTCTTCTGCCTCTTCCGAAATTTCCGCGAGAAACAGTGGCGGAGGGACGTAAAATGGTTCTTCTGACGACATGTCGAAAAGCTTGCGCAGGTCTAAGATCGGGAAAAGTTCTTCGTCGTCGCTGTCATAAATCGGAGCAGGAACGCTGCTTTCGAGGTTCATCTTGGGGGCTTCCCAGACAATGTATGGTAAAACACCTTCCAACATTTCATACAAAACTACCCCGAGACTATAGATATCACTTCGATGGTCAAAATCATCCGTCATTTGCCGCCAGGCCATTAAGTGTTCGGGTGCCATGTACACTGGCGACCCACCAACTACTTCCTTCTCCTCTTCATGCACTGCCATGCCAAAGTCGGCCAATTTGACGCGATCATCCAAGTCTAGCAAAAAGTTGGCGGGTTTACAATCACAGTGAAGCATGCCTTGTGCGTGAATGTATTCCAGGGCCCGGACAGCATCGAGAAAGTATTTTGCCGCCTGTTGTTCTGGAATCCGTCCATTTGGGGCATTATCTATCTTGTCATGAAGAGATCCTCCGTCACACACTTCGAGAATCATATACAAGAATGGCTCTTCCGGGTTGTGGGGAAGTGTAGGACCGTCCTCCCAGCCTTGGTCTTCCTCTTCCGTTCGGAATGGTGTGAATGAGTAAAAGTAGTCAATCATTCGAACAATGTTCGGATGATCCAGTTTGTCGTGAATATCGATTTCGCAAAAAGCATTATCGTCCGTTTCTTGAATCTTCAAAGCCACCTTATAGCCAGATTGCTTTTCACTGGCCAAATAAACGTGGGCAGTTCCCCCATGTCCCAACTTTCTTTGGTACACAAAATCATCAACTGCCCATTCTTGAATCCCTAGCTCGCAGAGGTCGCCGTCGATATCTTCTGCGACTCGCTCTGCACACACCAAATGAAACTGTTGTTTGCGAGATTTGTACTGTGGGCTCTTGAAAAAGTTCTTGCGCTGCTTGATTGGGAGGGGCGATAGCAAGTTGGCGGCGTTTGGTACTGCCGTTCGTTTGGGAGTAGCTGATGTCTTTGCAGTCGTTCCCATACCAAATGGGCTTTTGAATTCATTTTCCTTCACGGGCGTTTCTGATTGATTAGGATCAAGGGGACGCAAGACGTCTCGAATATGAGTTCTGGTCGTCATGATAGTTAAAAGGTTATTGTGAATGTGATGAAGTGGATGATGAGGTTTATTTGAGCTGCGTTTTTGTGTAAAGGTATCCCCGGCACGCGCAGGTACTAATTAATTGAATGTCGTTTGAAAGATGACACGCCGGCCGGCCGGTGGTAGTATGGTGGTCGAATGGCATGAAGATGATAGATAGATAGATATATGTCGATAAGGAAGTAATTATTATATTTTCTAGCTTGTTCGTTTCTTTCGTGTAGTATGAAGCAATATGGCAACAGGCTGCCATTATAAATCGGAAAGGAGCTTCCAATTGAGTCTTAGAAGGCCCCAACCATATCCATATCTTGGGTTGCCAAGACATCATATACGCAATCCTTGATGTCCAAAGGATCGCTCAAACCCTTGGAGCATGCCGCTTCAGCCTCCTCCATGGTGATAGTCGATTCTTCAAGACGGCGGCGGCGGTCTCCACGCGGATCTTCTGGAAGGATGCAACGCTTGGGGAACTGGGGGTCCGACACATCTTGAAACAATATATTGTCCTGTGGCAACACCTGCCATTCGTTTCCGAGTTCGATAAAATCATTGATAACAGTAGTTTGGTCACGAGCATAGGTCTTTCCAGTCTTGAAGTCTCCCAACATACCAACAGCATTGCCGAAAGCTTTGGCGGAGGCGTTAACAAAGTCCACCTGCACGAACTCCTTCATCGTCGCAATGACGATCTTCTGGCCAGGGTACTTGCTGCTCAAGTCAATTTCAAACTTGTGTCTGTGTGAGCGACCGGTTCCCTTGGTGATTTGAACTGGAAAGCCGCCTACTGTCTGTACAGGTCGCTGGTGAACAAAATTGAACCAATAGAGAGGATCTGTCTCGCTCATGTCGCCTGAACCTTCCACTTCAAGGATGTCATCGCCAATTCGAATGGCGGCTCTCTTGATGTAACTCCAGAAGCGAACAAGCTTGGTGCGAATCTGTACATCCAATCCAAGGCCATCAGCAAAGTTGGCATCCTTAGCAAGGACCAAATCACATTGCCCATGATACTCAAAGTGTTCTCCGACCCATGATTTGACTGCATGCAAGAAAAAAAAGGCTAGTCAGCTAGCTGAAAGGTATAACGAGACAGTTCGCAAGAAACAATGTCGCACAACGATGACTTACAGTGTGGGTCACCCCTGCTTCCAGAGTCGGATTCAAGAATTTCATCAGGATTAGTGACATTCGTTTCCGGCGTGGTGATATCACTGGCGGCAGTTCCAAGCTGGCTTTGCTTTGTGGGTGCGCTTGTTGGAACAGATGTGGGACCTGATGTAGGCACGGGAGTTGGTCCAGAGGTCGGCTCTGAAGTGGGACCTGGAGTTGGAAGTGTCGTAGGAGAGCTTGATGCTGTCACGGTTGGTCCGCTTGATGCTTCCGAAGTTGGTACCAGAGTTGGTCCAGATGTGGGTACTGGAGTTGGTTCCTTTGTTGGTCCAGAGGTAGGTCCTGAAGTGGGACCTGGAGTTGGGAGTGTCGTAGGAGAGCTTGATGCTGCCACAGTTGGCCCGCTTGATCCTTCCAAAGTTGGTACCGGAGTTGGTCCAGAAGTGGGCACTGGAGTGGGACCCGAGGTAGGCACGGGAGTTGGTCCAGAAGTAGGTACTGGGGTTGGGACGGGAGTTGGTCCGGAAGTAGGAACGGGTGTGGGACCTGAGGTAGGGACTCGAGTTGGCCCAGAAGTAGGTACTGGTGTGGGACCTGAGGTCGGTTCGTCAGTGATTTCCACTGTCTCGGTTTCTTGAATAATCACAATGTACTCATCGCATGCCTCGTCGCCCAAAAATTCACATTCTAACACGCAACCTTCCTCCAAGACACCGTCGATGGTACACTTGTCAATTGTGTCCGTATCAGCATTTTCGATCAGATCATCAATGTCCAAATCAAAGCTGTGATCGGAAACTAATGCGTTAGTACTGCAGCACGGGAGATGTCCGGATTACAGGTGGTTTGAAAAACTTACTTGTCCGAGGTACACTTGTCGAACGTGCCATGATTCATTCCAGACTCGTAGGTGAAGTGGGAATCTTCCTCAGAAATGCACCAAGTCATAGAATAGTTGTATGCTTCAATACCGCGACGCTTGCGTCCGTTGGATGGAATGTCGACAGCATTGCCAGTGTGATCGTGCCATTCGTTGTAGCTGTCTCCATCAGGCTGACCGAGAATCCCAACCAAAGTCTCATCACAGCGACAATCGGCCAAGAAATAGTTCACAGAAAAATGGCAAGTGTCGCGCCACACCTTCACATCCATGTCCAACCGCAAGTTGGTCGAAGCATATTCGACAACAATTCGCTTGTTCTTGACCTGCACGGTGACATCAGAAGATCCAGTTCCAAGTCGAATGTCCTTGGCTTCCTCATCTACAAAAAGCTGCACGGCACATGGTCCAATCATAGTTGCAAGCTCGCTGTCCTCGTCCTTGCCTAGTGAAACCTGAACGACAGGGAGTCCCAAGGTACTGTCCTCGTGGACAACCACTGCAGTAGTCACAGCGGGTCCCTTTGGATGGTTGGCGACGATCTGTGTCCGTGCTTGGATGGCAAAATCGGTGCTCAAACTCTTGAGGAAGGTTAGCTCGCCCTTGACGTGGACGTCGTAAGTAACTCCATCGAAAGTAATAATGTGCGCTGCAAAGTGCAAAAAGGAAAAGCGGACAGTCAGTACACGTACTAGCGAAGCCACACAAAAATATCCTGTATCCTGCAAAGCTGACTTACGATCGCCCCAACCTCTTGCCTTGCAAACGGGACAGTTGGGATCGGGAGACTCATCAGGAACTGCGTAGACAGCAAGCGTAAGAAAACAAATATATACAAAAGAGAGGCGTCTCGAACGAAGAGAGAGTTAGGAACTCACCTTGAAGAACAATTTCAATATCGGTGGAAGCTGTTTGTGAAAGAGTGTGGTTAAGAGCTGGATCTTCAAGATACGCTTCCGCAGCCTCTGGACCAAGAGCAATGCTGTCGACAATGCAAAACACATCCCCTTGGCATTCCTCAATAACTGCAGCATCCGCATTGGCAACAGCTTGCTCCAAGGAAGGATCATATCTGTCCAAAAAACCCATGAAGTGAACAGTCAGGTCAGTATGCAAAGCAATAATCATAATAGAATGTTTCGCTTTCAGCACTTACGGGTTGTCGCACTCATCGAAGAATGCAAAATCGGTGTTGGCTTCATACTCGAAGTAAGAGTCGGACTCCTTGTCCACGCACCAGTTATCCCGAGTGTAGATATAAGTTGGCTCGAATCCAGCTCCCTTTTTCAAAGAAGGAGGAATAGGAATTGGAGTTCCATCGCGCTGCATCCAGTCATTTCGCCACTCGTTGTCTGGAGATCCAACCAGACCAACGATATTCTCGTTTGGTCGACAGTCGGCCAAAGTGTAGGTTACGGAAAAGTGGCAAGTTTGTCTCCAGTTTCTGACATCCATCGTAACCTTGACTTTTGTTTCGGGGTACTGGATAGTGATTCTATTGCCGCCAGTCACTGCCACAGATGCCATAGTATTGCCAGATCCGGACGATACTGGTCGGGCAACGCCGTCCACAAAGAGCTGAACAGGACAGTTGCAATGATCTCCACGGCAACCGCTGGCACGAAGTACTTCAGTGTACGTGTCACTGGCGTCGCGTGCCAAAGAGACTTGGATTCTTGGGTTGTCACCGACTTCGTTGACGACGATGCCGGTAGTGACAGCAGGTCTTGCATTGTGGTTTTCGACGGCTTCGGTTCTACCTTGGATCTCAAAGGCAGAGTCCAATGACTTCACAAGGATTAGTTCACCCTTCACATGCACATCATAACGAAGACCTGAGACAGCGAATCAGGTGTGTGAGAATGACGATCGAGGTTGATGTTGGTGGTTGAGAAGAATGGATTCCTTACCGTCGAAAGTGACCATGTGCGGGTCGCCCCAACCTCTACCCTCGCAAGATTCGTTGGATACGGCAACTGAAAGATGATGAACGACTGTGAGAACGTGCGGCACGACCTCATAACACGATGAAACTCAAAAAAAGTTGACGGACCTTCGCTAACGGCAGTGGATAGAGTAACGGGACAAGATCCAGGGCTTGGTCGAGCAAGACAATTGACATGCAAGGATTCATATCGATGGCTGTTGGCTTCAAAACCCCTCCATTCATCATCGCGAACATCTTTGTAGGTCGATTGCCCCCCAAGCGCGAATAATTGATCAGATTCCTTCAGTTTGTCGGTGTCGTGAATAATGGCAACAATGTCTTGGCTGCAAACGAAAGTGTGAGAAACTGGAGTATCAAAGCAAATCAATACAGCAGTAGGATACATACTTGTGGAACTCCACAACATTGTCAAAGAATACCGTCGATTGGTCGTGAGACAAAAATTGGGCCATGTAGGAATTGTACGTTTCGCCTGATTGAAGGGTGTACGAGCCACCTGATCCACGGTTTCTCTCGAAGCAACCATTGTCGAGAGCGAACTGTTCTTGGGCAACAATGTTGGCTCCGCCAGGGATAGTGTAACCTTGTTGTTCTGGCCAGAGGTTGAACCCATCGAGCGACTCAAGCTTGCAGCACTTGGATTCGTCATCCACAGGAGAAAAGATGAAATCGACTGAGCTCACATCCTCACAGCCATCCTTCATATTCCAAACGCTTGGAGCATCGGCCGCGGGGGTGTAGCCTGGTCTGGGTTTGGTGAGAATGCGTATCTGATCCGTTTGTCCAGTGGTCGCCATTTTCATTTCAATAATATCACCGGGAGCTTTCTCCGCAGTGGTGAGCGTAAATGCTGCAAAGGCAGCAGCAAGGGATAGATGAAGTTTGACCATCTTTCAATTCAGTTTGTTTTGAAATTTGTGAACCGATTGTGTGGGCAAGGGTTGTTCAGTCAGTTCAGAAACGGTGACAGTAGGAAACACACTGAATTGGATGTAAATGACCTCCCGCCATATATATTTCGAATCTTGGATCAAGACAGACGCAAGATCGAAGGTTAGAATAGAAAATGTGGCGGTCTGTTTTCTATGTAAAAATTTCGAAACAGTGCCTTTCAATTTTGGACGCACCAAAATTAATAATAAATGTTTCAGCAAAAGACCGACACACGCGAGATTCCAAATTGTTCTCAAGACAAAATAAACACGACCATTGATTTTTGATGTGGTCAAAATCTCCTTTGCACTCTATAATCAGTTGGGAGCTTTGTTTATTGATCTCTTACTGTTTAAAAAATGACAACGCAATAATATCTAATAACGCGTAGACGAAAGCTCGAGAACGAATCATTGGATTCCTTTCATCATACTGACGACGGTCGAACGACCGTCTCAACATCATTGCTCCGCAACACCAAGTCCGATCAATTTATCGAACTTGTGTGCGAGTTTAGTAAAAATCAAGAAATACCTTTATTTCCAAGATGCCACAGGAGGTAATCCGTTTGCTGGTGTTATGAACGGTACAAACATACCACTCCAGTCGCCAGCCCAAGGTATGCCTCCTAATGGAATCCACAATTCAACATGGAATTCTCCATTCCAACAAGGTCCACGCGTCCAAATTGATCCTACCCCTAGGGGCCCGTCCCCGATTGCTGGACATCACACAGGATTGCCGGCGCCTGGGTTGCCAACACCGATGCACCATCAACAGATGTTTCCGGCATCGCCAGGGATACCTTCTCCTCACTACTGCTTTGCATCCAAACCTATCTTATCCCGCAGGGTACAGAGGTGCAGTGTATCCAATGGATTATTATCCGGCCCATCCCGGATTCACCACAAACAAGCCAAATTCGCGGTCCAAATATACCCCTGTGCGGACTGCCAGTATTAATTTGGACATGGAGCGCCCTTGTTGCCCCCGGAATTGAAGGCAATTGGATATTGGTTGTTGCATCCAGTCCCTCCTACGGTGGGGATGGTGCGAACATCTCTTGGTGATCGAATGGCATCTGACGTTCTCCAATTTGGACTACCAACAGAAATTGGGCGTAGATGTCTGGAAGGGTTTGATTACAAAAATGATGGCAGTGTGGCTGCGAATATTGTTTGTACGGCTATAGAGTACCGAACCAAATACCAATTTGGAACATTCTCGCAAGTTGGAGAGCTATAACGTGATTTGCGGTCCGTAGTGGACAGTGACTTCATCAAGTGTAGTTTTGATATTGCTACATGGTGGGTGGATCCTGACAGCGCTCCACCACCAGGAACATCCAAACGGTTTTCATTGCTAGCATTCCTACCCTGTATTTTGGAAGACTTTTCTTCTGATTACCTACCAAGTGACGGATTAAGTTGGCAGCAGATGAAAGCATTTGCGCTGGTGATATACTATCATTTTGCACTCTTGGGCTTTACAAACCCAACTTCGGATAACGGAGATTACAATGATGAGCTTTTCTGCAGTTCACTCTTTGGTCATTGTTTGCAACACATATGTCAATATGTCCTGAACACAAATTTGGGTCATAGATGGGCTCAGACACCTGCACAGTGTACAGCTGCTTACGTTCGCGATTTGAGTGAACTATTTCACATTCTGAAGAAGTTCGTTGACCATCGTATTTGACATGATGTGGAAAATTATGGTATTAGTGATGTGTGGCCCACAAATGACCGTAATGCAGTATTTATGTTGGTGCCGTGCAGGTTTTATGGCTCAGACGGAGAGTGTAGTAAATGTTCTTCATGACTACTATACTCGCATACAGCGCAATTGGGGAGCTGGTCGGTATACTGCTCCAAACGAATGTTCGTGGGCGATGTCTTCTTCACCTTTCTTTGCCCCTGAAAAAGCTGCGCCTTCACGGCTTTTGGACCTACCAAAGCCAAAGACGACGGAGCGTACTCGGGATGATAAAGAGAATGTTCCCTTTCGTAACACCAGTCCACTATTTGTGTGGAATCATACTGTCACTCCTTTGGGAAAGAAATCTCCGTCGGAAATGTTATACCCAGTGGTCCAACGGGGCACCTATCCCTTGATTGTGGATCCTCATGCTAAACGCACTTCTGGTAAGAACACATTGTATCCGATCTGTTTAAATTCAACCTTTGAGGGCCATTGTACTTGTTCCAAACCCGGGACTTGTAAGACCCACAAGGTGGGCCGCTATGCTGGCAAAACACGTCTTCATATCGATTTGAATGATGCGCGTTGGTCCGCGGCCAACTACAAGGAAGAGGATTGGAAGCCAATTGTCAATTTCATAAAGAAGTATCACGATCATATTTTGCCCAGCAAGGCATTCAAGAAACTGACTCCAAGTACAACTTGGTGATGGGATCCACTGGCACTCGAAGGGGCCCAGCTTGTGGAGCACGACTCCAAGCCAGTGGTATCAGACAGAGTAAAGATCATGGTTCCCCCAAGGCGTCGGTTTCACAAGACACCACCAGCTCGGATCAAGAACAGATGGCCTGGAGATTGGGACTGGCAATATCTTCCAATTCGTGAGTTGCCTCTTAAGATTGTGCCATGTCTACCATGGGGAAAAGAGAAGAAATTCAACACTCCTACCAAGACGCTACATGAAAATATTCCTGGAAATGGACAAGTTCAGCCGACATTTATGCTGATTGCCCACCTGGTACAGGCAAGCAACTATTTGGATGAAACAGATTATAACGTGCTGACCCTGGTGACTCCGGCTTTGGCGAAAAATTCTCTGCTTTTGGAGTTTCCGTTCTCTTGTCCTTGGAAGACTACTTGCAAAAGACAATGGGGTTTTGGAAAAGTGCACAAAGATCGCTATGGTACCCACGCAAAGGTCAACCCTCGATCCATGATTCATTATGCTTGGGGCTTTCTGTTGACAGTGGATAGACACAAAGTGATTATTGCGTTGCCTCAGTGGCGTCAATATGCCTCTCTTTGTCGCTTTGCCTCTGTTACTTTGCTGGCTTGTTTGAAAGAACCACGTGGCTTATCACATCCAAACTGAAGGTGTTCCTATCAAAGCCCAATACAGGACTCCTATGTCTGCTACTGTACTTAGAGAAGAATATGATAACCATCCAGCAGTTGCTGCCAATTCTTCCAAAGTTGAGGAGAAGTTTGCAAAAGAAGAATGGAAGGCTTATCATATTCACTATTTACGGTTTGTGTTCCAATTCATCCCAGGTCTGGTTATTAATCCTATCCAGTGGGTTTTTGACAAAGGTAAAGGTCGGATTTGCATTGACTGTTCCAATGGTCCTGACGACTTAGGATCAATCAACACCTATATCCCCAAACCAAAGCAAGATAAGTCCAGTGAGCAGTGCCCTCCAATCCACTACCAGTTTGCGTTCAAGAGGTTGCTACGTCAAGTTCTCCGTATGCGCATCACCAAACCAACAAGTCCTATTTTGGTTCATGCTGACAATATTGAAGCCGCTTTTCAACGTGTGCTTTATCATCCAGATGTAGCTGTGGCATTTGCATGTGTATACTCAGACTATTTGATTGTCCCAGTGGGCCAGGTGTTTGGTTCAAGGAATGCTCCATCATTCTATTGTGTTCTTGCCAACCTACGGGAGGTCTTGGCAACTTGTCGTGTTGATGTTCCTTTGGAACAATTACATGCGCTGGTCCGTAAATGTACCATTGCCATTGATACTTCCACTCCTTTGTGCACGGTCCCTGCTGATTCCCGTCACCCACCGTTGTCTGTGACCGAACTTGTTCAAATGTACAATGCTAGCTATGTTGACGACAATGCAGTTGCCGCCTTTGCTGAACATATCAAGCAAGCAATCAATCACAGTGTGATGTCTGCCTTTGAGGTTTTTGGTCATGGTGATAATCGCCGTGGTGACTGCCTCCAGGACAAAAAGTGGGAACCTGAGGTTACAGAAACCTTTTTGTTTCTAGGATTTTGTATCAATACACACAATATGACGGTTTCTTGGCCACTCTACAAACGGGAAGACTTGCATTCACAGTTGGTGGACATCCTGAAACTTCATCCACGTTGCGTTTCTCCTTGTGAGATGGCAAAGATTGTTGGTATTGTCCGCTCCGCATCTGAAATTGCACCATGGGGCAATTTCTTGAGCTTTAACTTGCAAAATGCACTGACACAGGCTGCCAAGAATGCCTTCTCCGACAAACGAAGCTGGTGGACATGTTCTCGTATCTACCTATTGCGTGTGGCAGTTGCTACAATCCATCAACTGTTGGAGACATTATTGGCGCCTGAGGACAGCCCACTTTGGTCTCGGCCTATCGCTTTGTACCTGGATCGTGACTACACTCATAGTGCATATTCCGACGCAGGCTATGGTGGCTTGGGTGGCTGGAGTGCCAATTTCAGTTTCCTTTGGCGCCTGACCCGTGATACTCTTGTCGAAGCGGGTTTTGAGATGCGTGAAATAAAAATCTCATCTAATGACCCAGCGTTACCTGATGGTTTCTTACACATCAACCCATTGGAATATCTGGGTGCACTCATCAACCTTTGGATCTGTATCAAATGTGTGATACTTCTTGGCCCCATCAATGGGGGCTACATTTTAGCTTTATTGATCGATAATACAACGGCTGTGTCTTGGATGTCCACAGCATCCAGGACAAAAATCCTCTTCCACAGGGACTAGCTCAAATAGGTTCTGCATTGCTTGTTGAAGCCTCTCAATTACTAATGAAAGTTTGTCCCAAACATCATCCTGGAAATCAGAACGGAGCAGCGGACGCGAAATCCAAAGCGATTGAGAAGGATGAGCAATCGCACCAAGAAAGAATCCCTCACGGAAGAACTCAGGCGGTAGGCGCCAGTTGGCTATCTTCGATAGTAAAACAAATTTGAAAATAATGAAGAACTAAGACGGTAGTGACTGAAACG